GCAACAACTTGAAGGTATAAAGAGGTCTCCTCCAGGCCAGTAAGTCTAGAAAATTGAGTCTTCTTCTCTTGTTGCCTTATGCCTCAGAGATATGGGCAATCAAAGAAGAATCCCTTCCCCCTGCTCAGACTCTGCTCATGCAAGCCGAACAGGCATGATAATACCAATAGCAGCCATTATAGAATTGACTAGACCTCTCATTTCCTGTCAAGCTCTGATTCCATTAGGAAAACCTCACCCTGCTTTACCCCAGGGCTTTAGACTTTAGGTTTGGAGAGCTCCATTTTCAGTATCTTTCTCCTCTTGTCCCTGGAAAGCTGTCACAGCTGTAATCCACAGCAAATGGATTTCCCTGACCCTGGGGACAAAGGCCTAGTGTTTCCTAGACTTGGCGGCTCCTGGGAGGGCAGAACCATCAGCATTTCTCCAGCTGCTGGTCTCAAGCCCTGTGGGCGGCAGAGACCTGTAATAAGATCACCATCTAAGCCAGTTACAGTCAGCACATCATTCAAAGTGGTCCCTTGAGGTTGGGAGGGGAGAATCAACGGAAATAGGAGTCCTGGCTCTAGAGAGCACAGGCTCACACAAAACCACACAGTGAGTTGGAACCCAGAGAAAAATAGACTTCTCATGCTGGATGTTAGCCATTAGAGAGATTTGGCTGTGGTTCACACTGGGATTCCACAGGGCTGGGTGGCCTAGGGGAAGAAATAAGGCATTTGTCAGAAGAAATAAGAGTAGAAATTAAAAGGAAATTGAATATGAGTGGGTAAATGTTTAAACAGTAAATGCTAGGAATGTTTAAGGATTCCAGTTTTCTACTGTGGAACACCAGAGGGGGAGACTTAGCGAGATGTCTCCGTAGCCCTCGCTCGCCACCAGCCCAGAGCTCTGAAGCAGAAGGAAGATAGGAGTGGGTAAATGTGACAGCTTTGGTGCAAAGAGTGGAACTACAGAAGAAAAGGCTCAAAAGCCAGTATAGTGACCCACACTTCCTGATTAATTCAAGTTCCCTCCCACTAAGAGACCAATGAAAACCAGATATACGGCAACTTTCTTCCTGGATTCTCTTCAGGGCAAACTTCAGCCTTCTGATCCCACCACCATGAGGCACGTTATTTAGATAATTATTTAGATAAATTTCCTACTAACAAAATTTGGGTATTAATAGCTACTCCATAATGGAAGTCATGAGTCTATATAAAGCATCTGCTATGCTTGACAAATGATAAGTGCTCAATAAATAATCACCATTGATGGAAGGTGTGGAAATTAAAAGATAGTTCATGTTTTAAACTAGCTGGGAAGAGTTCTGTAGGTCAGGTGGAAGTTAAACTAAACTTTCAAATAAGCAGTAGGTTAGAATGTGGCACTCATCGTGTACTGCTAAACAAACATTTATGGACTGAAATCCTAGGTGTGCATGGGAAAACATGACATGAGCCCTGTTCTCCAGGAGTTCAGAGTTCAATGGGGAAGACCCACCCCAATCAAATCACTTTCATGTAATTCTACACTTGTGAGTGCTGTAAGCGAGGTAAGCACAAGGTATTGTGGAAGCAGCCCTCCACTGGATGGCTTAAAGGAAAAATTCACACCAAAAGCAGAACAGCTAGAGGTTGTTATATTCAGTGCCTGTTCCATGGCAGAGACTCAAACTATTGAAGATCTAAGGAGCTGGTTAAATGAAAGGTGGAGGGAAGGCATTTCAGAGGAAGGGAGCAGCATGGGTAGCCCACAGCAGTAAAAGAGGTGGCAAATAGCAAGGTGTACAAGACTTGTAGACATTTAGAATCATTCTGAGCCCAGCGGGTATGTGGTATGGAAAAGTGGTGACAGGTGAGGTGAGAAGTGAGAAAGACAGGCAGAGTAGATTTGGGGGCTTCACACACACTGAGCAGCTTACCAGGGGAACCACGTGGACCCCCAAACTTGCAGTGGTAACTCAACAGCTGGAGCAGAGACAACTGGATACTCAAATGTCCAAATACAAAATGTCATATGATCCAGCAATTTCGCTGCTACTTATATAGCCAAAGAATTGAAGGCAAGGACTCCAATAGAACACTTGTATGCCAATGTTCATTGCAATGTTATTCACAGTAGCAGTAGTCAAGAGGTAAAAACCAGTGGCCATCAACGATGGATGAATAGACAAAATGAGGTGTGCAGACACACACACACACACACACACACACACACACACACACACGAAACAAATGAAATTCTAATATATGCTACAGCATGAATGAACCTTGAAAACATTGTACTAAGTGAATAAGCCAGACATGAAAGGAAGATATGGTGTGGTTCCACTTCCATGAGACAGAGTAAGCAAACTCAGAAAGTAAATTTGAGGTTACCAGGGCCCAGTCAAGGGGGGAGGGCAATGGGGTCTTATTTATTGCTTAATAGTTATAAAGTTTCTGTTTTGGGTAATGAAAAAGCTCAGGAAATAGATAGAGGTGATGGTCACACGACATTGTGAGTTAATGTTATCAAATAGCATGCTTAAAAATGGTTAATCTCCCGATCTTCCCATCAGAGTCAGTGCCTTCCTTCTTTTTCCCTGTTTGTGAGAGATTGGGAGACAGCTGTAGCTACCAAGAGCATGAGCTAGGACAGAAAGGGCCGAGGGATGAGACACATTGTGAGCATGCACTGTCTGAGGATTAAGGGTATATGTGTGCCTGAAAGGGAGAGACAGCGTGTGTTTGATCAGCGGGTGGCAGAGATCCTCAAGAGGAGAGAGAACTGGAGCTGAGCAGCATGGGAGCCCATCACAGAGAGGGCCAAAGGCAGGCTGTCAAGGGCAAGGGGCCAAAGAGTGAAGAAATGAAGATTAGGAGAGAGAGCTCATCAGTGAATGAAGGGGAAGAGTGACCAGGCCAGGCCAATCAGGAGGGCAAGTGGTCAAGGGAAGGAAGGAGAGTGAGAAGGAGAGCAGGCTCCTGGGAGCAAAAGCACAGTGAGGTGAGACATACCTGGGAGGACCAGCAAGGAGATAGCCACCAAGGCCAAGGGGGAAAGGGAGGGTATGAAAGGGTAGGGACAGGGGCAGCCCCAGGGGCCGAGGGAGCAAAAACCTGACAGACTGAGCCAAGAACAAGAGGAGAGAAGAGAAAAGGGAGAGGCGTGCTGGCCATAGCAGGAAGGACACGTGGTCAGGGAGTCCAGGAAGTGCTGTGTGCCTGAGGCCCCAAGTTGCTAGGTAAGTCTCACCCCACAGGGGAGCAGAGGCTGTCCTTACCTGTGCACTTTCCTATAAAGGAATGCCTTGCTCTCTGTAGGATGCTGTCTTGTTTTTCAATGAGGATTGAGTACACACTGTCCATGATAGTGTCCCTAACTGCTGCAGAAGAAACAAAAAGGAGCTACGGCTTGATCCCAGGCCTGGACAGCCTATCATCTTGATTTGCTGTGGCTGTTGCCCTGTTTTCCCTACAAGCACTTTAGTTGAGATTTCCTAGGGTGGGATGAGAAGCAGGAACTGAAACCCAATGCAGGTCAACATTTGGGGAAAGGAAGTGAGGCCTTGAACTGAGAAAGGACCTTGGAATTGAAAGGGATATTCCATGTCTGGACAGAACTGTTTTTTACTGATTTCCTGCTCAGTGATCTTAAAATCCCAGTTGAGCCCCCTCTTGACAACTAGTTTTTCAGTTTCTGCAAGGTCATGAATTAACCCTGTTGTCATTTTCTACCCAGCCTAGACTTCTCTCCCTAGAATGTAGATAAGGTGGATTTCCACAAAGCAGAGGACAGGAAACCCTTGTTGACTTTGCTGTGCATTGATTCCCATGTCATCACTATTGTCATAAACATCCTTAACAAGTGAGTAGCCAGTGCAGTTCAAGGCAAAAGGAATTCATGGGCAAGGGCCTTGCCCTGTGCAGTAAGAGTAGACATGGAAATGCTAGGGAAAACCTCTACTGAAAGGCCCAGGTCAGGAGCATGGTTTGCAGACGGGTTCACAACCTTGGAAGCCAAAAGCAACTTGCTGCCTGCCACATGGGGATAAGAGTCCTGCCTTTCAGCCTTCACCCGTATTTTTAAAACCCACAGTGAAACCCACCCTAGTCTGAAGAAAGCAGCCTGATGAATGTCAACCCCCAAATTGAGCAGCACTAGGGAGATTCCAACAGGACATTAATGACTATTTTGATTGTAGAGCTTCATGCATGCTCTATCCCTGAGCTATATCACCAGCCTTTCAGTTTATTTTATTACCTCCTTATTTGCCTCTTTCTCTTATTCTGTTCTCTCCAAATTTTTAATCCTATTTCTTTCACCGTCTGGCTGTGTACATAATAAGCATGCTGATGTTCAGTTTCTCCATCCCAAAAAGAAGAGGTTGACAAGGTGGAAGATGATCCCTAAGATAACTGCCAGGAGAACATGCAGAAATCCACCTCCTCTGCACTAGTTTTACCTCCTCTGGCAGAAGAAACTTGTCATAGACTTTAACATCAGTCTGACCTAATTTCAAATCTCGACTAATGAGCCAAGCCTGGCCCTGTGCTTTTGGTGACAAGTGTGTCTCAAAACATTGGTTTACAAGTGGCTCTATGGCAGGCTGTTTGGAAAGGTGATGCGTATGTAGTCAAACCTTGGTATCAGCAGCATATTTGTCCCAGGACCCCTCATAGTCACCAAAATGTGCAGAAACTCAAGCCTTTTATGTAAAATGGCATAGCATTTGTATATATCTTACCCACATCCTCCCAAATACTTTTAAGTCATCTCTAGATTATCTGTACTGCTTAATACAATGAAAATTCTATGTAAATAATTGTTCTACTATATTATTTAGGGAAAAAAATAACAAGAAAAAAAGGTATTCAAAGCTGGTTGAACTAAAGGATGCATAACCATGGAGGGCCAACTGCGTGCACATTCTCTGAAAGCATTTGTTAGATATTTTACTACTGCCTCTTCCCTCCTAGCGTCTGCCTGCTCTTCTGCTGTCTGTGTGCCCTGACTGTGCCACTCTGTAGGCCATGGAGAATGAGCTGCCAGTCCCGCACACATCTAGCAGTGCCAGTGTCACCAATAGTACCAGCGGGGCCAGTAGCAGCAGTGGCTGCAACAATAGCAGCAGTGGTGGCAGTGGACGCCCCCCGGGACCCCAGATTTCTGTATACAGTGGCATTCCTGACCGACAGACTGTGCAGGTAAGATTCTGATTGATCCAGGAATTGCATTCCTTAACCATCTGCAGGGTTAGCCAGGCAGAGGTGTAGGCATGATCTGCTGGAGTAACCTAGATGCCTCCCAGATGGGCAAAAGGGAGTAGGTTAGTAGATCTAAATTTATATATGGTTAGGGGAGTGGTAGAGGCGCAAGGAAATTTGGAAAGGGAGAGTACTTAGCAGATCATAAAAATCTCTTTCTTACCCAATAGTGTAGATCCCAGGGTGATATTTTAGGAGAATAGTGTGTACAAGGGCAGACAGCTAAAAATAAGAAACTGCAAAAATGACTTAACTGCTCAGCCAAAATCCAAACCCATTATCCAAATGACCATTGACCTATGAGGAACAAATAAGTGTCTCAAAGACAGAGGAGCATAAAAGAAGCCCAAAGGAGTCTATTGTTCTTGAGCTTTTTTCTTTTTTCCCTGATATTAACAAAATGTCATCCATGAGACCCCCAGATGATTACACAATGTTCCAAAATGTAGTCCTGGCCATGTGTTGCCACCTTTTGTGTGCCCAGCACTGTGGCAGCATTCTGCATATTTACTTCTCCAGCTATGAAAATGGCTGTTATCAACACAGTCCTATAACTGCTGAAATGGAGGCTCTGAGAAGGCAGTAACTTGTCTAAGGCCATTCAGATAAAGAAAAAAAAAATGAGCCTAAATCTGACCCCAAGCCCATGTTCTTAATCACAACAATATCTGTTTGAGGTTCCTAGATAATATAGGCAGAAGAGAGAGGCCACAGTTGAGAAATGTTTACTCTAAGTAATTTTGCTGTACTAGAGGAGTGACCTCATCCCGTTTTGGCCCCAGGCCCAGATAAGAGAGTGGGGGAGAAGCCACAGCAGACAGTGAGAAGCCTGAGAAATTCAGCTAAAGAAGACACTAGTGGATGACCTGGACTGTCCCTCTCCTAGTTATCTCTGCCTCACAGTTAATCTAACCACGTCTCCAGCTCCCACCCTACTCCCTGCCTCTTCCCCTGCCCCTTCATGCATGAGTATCTGAGCTCTGGTATCCAGCATCTGGCATCATGGATGTGCCCTTCTCCCACCACTCATCAGAACTCAAGGCAAAAGGGGCTCAGGGCTTCTGCTCTGGCAACCTTGCATTTACACCCAGGCAGAGCCACTGGGAGCTCCTCCTGGCCCATCCACTGACTCCCTCTGGTGAGGAAGAGTCAGAACCTCAGGTACTGCTGGCTGAACTGCTGGAAAGGTCACTTTCAGGAGGCTAAGGAAAAAGAAGGGCCAATTTAAGGGGAAAAAGAGTAGATAATTCTGGGGACAACAGGGGGTTAAAAAGTAGAATCCAAATGAAGAGGATCTGAGAGAGTAGAGCGTACTAGGGAGAGAGGAGTCAGAGAAATATGTGCAAGAGTTGGGGTTGGGGTTTCTAGGGAGACACCAGAGCCCACGGAGGATCTGTGATATCAGCCTGTTCTCAAGAAACCCAAGTCTGAGCCCAGAGCTTTCGCCCTTAGCAGGGCCTGGGGTCAGGAGCAGCCCTATAGCCAAGGATCCCACAGAGCTGAGGGCAGGGAGTAGGCCAGAACCCAGGGAGCACTATTGCTGGGTACCAGCTGGGAAGCAAAGGTAGGAGAGAGAATAAATGTCTCTGGGCCTCCTAAGAAGAAGACAGAGGGCCTGAAGCCTGCCGTGTAGCATCCAGCTCTCTTTGTTCCTGGGAGTGGGGAAGGATCAAACAATAGCCCTTTATCATTTCCTAGAGGCTGCTGTTCAACCAATCAGGAAGGAGGGAGTAAGCAGTAAGGCCACAGAATGGGAGATAGTCGCTAAAAAGAGGGAGCAGAGGAGAAAAGAGGCGAGGGAGGGAAAGAAGAAAAGGGGAATGTGTCATTCCTGTGGCCCAGCATGCTGCAAGGCCACCTTCTCAGGACTGATAGGATCCTCTGAGCATTGTGTGTCAAACCTGGGGAGTAGCACCCATTCAACCTTGTAGCCTCTGCAAAAGCAGTTGCCTTTGCATGAGTCTCAGTTTGGCTGCTTCTGCTGAACCTGGCCCCTCTGATACAGCTCTTCTTCCCAGAACCTCTCTTCATTCTGCCCTCATTTGCTTCACCTTCATCTGAGGCTGCAGAGTGCTTGGGGGAGACAGTACCTGGCAAGCCTGGCATGGGAGGCTTCTGACTCTGGGAGAGCCGGTTAGAGCAGTGGCGTGCTGCTGCGACTCTCCTCACAGCACTGATGCAGGAGCAGGCCCATCAGGGAGGAGCTGGAGACTAATCAAGATAGCAAAAATAGACAGAAAACTCTTCTAACAGATGTCTCTTGAGTCAGAGGCTCTGGAGAGGGCAGTGGGTTGTGGTAATGGTCACAGATCCTGGGGTTCCCCGAGCAGCTGAGGAGAGCTGGGTTGACAAGCCATGGCTGCAGTAAGGGTGTGCCATGCAGCCAGCTGACATCTCCAGCTCCCACTCTCCCTGCCTCCCAGGTGATCCAGCAGGCCCTGCACAGGCAGCCCAGCACTGCGGCTCAGTACCTGCAGCAGATGTACGCCGCCCAGCAGCAGCACCTCATGCTGCAGACAGCCGCCCTGCAGCAGCAGCACCTCAGCAGTGCCCAGCTCCAGAGCCTGGCGGCAGTACAGCAGGTGAGGAGCCTGGCAGCGGGGATGAGGCTCATGGGGTGTCCAGACTGTGTGAGCAAGAGGAAGAAGAAGTGGGCACTGCCAATGCTTCCCCTGTCTCCTCTTGCCAGTCCACAGAGTCCTAGTGAGGACTTGCCATCATTTCCTTTTGGCAGATGAGGAACAGAGAGAGCCCAGCTCGTGAGTGGAGCAGCTGGAATTCTCACAGGTTGTCCCATAGAGAAGTGTTAGGAGAGCCACTTCCTCAACCACATCACTGTGCTGCTGGGAAAGGGACCATAACTCCAATGAGGCACTCGCAGGAGAAGGGTGTGCCAGACTCACTTTCTGTCTGTTTCCCTCTGATCCCAGTAGTTGAGAAGAACATGGTCATCCATTATCCATCCACTCATCCATCCATCCACCCATCCATCCTTCCATCCACTTATCCATCATCCATCCGTCCATCCACCCATCCGCCCATCCATCCATCTGTCCATCCACCCACTCATCCACCCATCCAGCCATCCACCCACCTACCCATCCATCCATCCATCTGAAAGAATGTTTTATGCAAAGTTCATGTCAGGCACTGGGTATGCTGTGGACCCTGTCTTCTTGGAGCTTGGAGTAGGGAGTTAGCAAGTATATAGGAACCAAAATAGTCAAGAAAAGAAGCTATTTAAATATCTCAGTTGTGGTATGTACTATGACAGAAAAGAATAGATACTGTCACTGAAGGACAAGGAAGATGACCCTACATTGGGTAGTCAGGGAAGGTCTGCCTACTGGAATAACATCAAAACTGATGCTTGAAAGATGACAAAGAGGAGAGGCAGAGGGGAGCTTTTGATGCGTGAGACAGAGTATCGACACTCTCCGCATGGCGCAGCGAGCTGCATGGGTGTGGTGGAGGCCTGGAGAGAGCTGCAGAAACGGGCAGCAGCAATGGCTGACAGAGTGCTTAGTATCTGTGCTCTCTTGTTCAGTCCTCCCAGCAACCTTTCAGCTGGGTATGGTCATTATCCCCCCCTATGAAAGGGGAGACTGGGCCCTTGGGCCCTTTCTCAAGGCCACATGATGGGGTTGGGCTCCCAGGGTTGCTGTCCTTACCACTGTCCCTGGAAGATGAGAGCTCAAAAATGAGTGGGGGTGGGGTGCTGGGACACTAGTAGCAAGAATCTGTTCTTTTCCAGGCGAGCCTAGTGGCCAGCAGACAAGGGAGCACTTCTGGCAGCAGTGCGTCTGCACAGGCCCCGACCCAGTCACCTTCGGTGAGTAGAACTTGGGAGCAGCACACAGCACCCATAGCTCTGGACCAACTCCTTCCTTCTTACCTAAGATGCTCACGAGTTCCTGGACCCAGTGATCCTTAGTGAATCCTTAGCTGTGCAGGATCATATCTGGAGTCTATTGCTCTTGCCAGGGGAAAAAAAAGTGCATACTTCTCTCTAAGCCTTATATCAATGCTCTGTCATCTTTCTGGTGTCAAGGCTCTGTTGCTTGCTCCCCCTTTGAATGCTGAGTCCTCCCTTAACCTCTGTACCTAGGCCGGAGATGGGGAAGTTCTAGGTGAAACTCCTTGACCCAAGGACCAGAGGTTCTAAAGGAGGCTACATAAACCAAGGAACAGAAGAGAGGGAGAGCAAGAAATGAATGAGGGAACATAGTTCACGTCAGAGCCTCCTGTTCCCTACTGCACGTGTCTCTTTCATCAGATCAATCTGGCAACCTCCCCAGCAGCAGCCCAGCTCATCAACCGGGCTCAGAGTGTCAACTCAGCCACAGCCTCAGGCCTTGCCCAGCAGGCCGTGCTCCTGGGCAACACATCTTCTCCAGCCCTCACCGCCAGCCAAGCACAGATGTATCTCAGGGCACAGATGGTGAGTACCCCTGGCTTGAGCCATAGATTTGGGGCCAGGAAGACACAGGCTGAGAGTTTGGGAGCTGGAAGACTAGAAAAATGAGGAGACAAGAAAAGGGGGAAGAAGTACTGTGGGACAGGGGCAAGAGGAAGGGGGTAGAATGAAAAAGGGTGGTCTGGAAGGCTGAGTGGGAATGTGGTGTGGACTCCATGACTCAAGGAAGGGTGGGGTTCCAGGCTGAGAAGAAGTTACCCATAATACTTCCCTTCCCTGTCCTACAGCAAATAAAATCATCTCCTTCTTATCAGAAACTGTTCCTGAGAACTAATTAGGGTAGAGTGTGCAGGGGCCCATGCCCAGCCGATCCTCCACACTCAGACTTAAGATGAGCATACACACAGGTACTTTCCCAAAATGGAATCTTCCCCTACTCTGACAGTTCTTGCGTGGACTGACCACCTCTAGCTCAGGGGCCAAAGATACACTGGAGAGCAGAGAGGTGCAGCTTTAGGGCCTGATGCTTACTGCTGCTGCCCCCCAGAGAATTCCCTGGGACAATGACAGCATTCTCCCTAGCAGGCAGTAACTAACATTCAGCCCATGTTGAGCTCCCATCTGAGTTATACCTCACATTTCCCATGCTGAAGAGTTTTCTCATCAGCCCCTTGGCACACCATCCTGAGAATAGTGCAGTCCTGCCCCTCCCTTTGCTCTTATGGCCAGAACTTGGCAGCTGGAGTTTTTTAGGTCTTGCTCCCATACGCCTGTCCTGGGCTCTGAGTTCCTCGTTTGAGGTTCATCTCCATTCTCCAGCAAGGCCTCTTAGACACACAACATCAAATTGACTTTCACTTCCCTAGCAAACTGACAGCCACACATTGATACCTCCCAAACCTGCCCTTGCCTCCACTTCACTCACCCCCATGTCCCACTCAGTGCCCCCACTAGGACCCCGATGCCTGCCTGCTGCTCTCCAAAAGCAGGACATACACATATAGAGGAGTGAGCCTGGAAGCGTGGCCACGGAGCTGAGGGGAAAGCCCTGACAGCACCGCAGCCTGTCCACACTGGTGCAGTCTAGACCCACACGGGGCGAGGTGCCAGCTGGGAATGGCAAGTAACCTGTGCCCTTCCAGATGAGATTCAGACACAGTACAGCTCCAGGTTGTCTACTTCCTCTGCTATTGCTGCTCCTAGGCCCCTTCCTCCAAATTTGACTTTAAAATGACCAAAAGCATATGTCTGATTTGGTCCCTTCTGGAGGGGAATTTTGATCTGATTCAGCCGTTGGGTTAGGGTTGAATTAGACCCAGAAAATAGTCCTTGGGCACCTGTCTAAGGTCCCTGTTGGCCAGGATGCTGAGGAGACAGTGAGTTCAGGGTGTCCTCCCACCCACCCACCTAGAATGAGCCCCTCACAGTGTTCTGAAGTCCCAGAGCAGCTCTCCTGCTCCATCCTGTCACTGCCCAGCATGGGTCAGCACACTATAAGCCTCTTGAAACTTTCAGGTGGTCCTTGGGACCCCTGCCCTTACCTGCTTCCTTATTTCTACTTCCTAGCCAACCCCATCTCTGCTCCCTGGCTACAGTGTTCTGCCCTGTGGCTGAACCCACATGGGGCAGGTAAAAGGCGCCTCGTTTCCTGTGATTCCAGGCCCAGCCAGGTAACCTGGTGCAGGTAGCTAGGAGCCTAGGCGGCACTGTTCCTTTGTCCCCTCAGCTCATCTTCACGCCCACGGCCACCGTCGCTACTGTGCAGCCTGAGCTCGGCACTGGCTCCCCCGCCCGGCCCCCCACCCCCGCCCAGGTGAGGATCCCATGTTTGTGGGAGGGCAGGGGGGGTGGGCAGCACTTTACAGGGGTAGGACACTGGGGATGGGCAGCCCTGGAGGAGCTCTGAGTCTCTGGAAAGGCTGGACTCTTCTAAGGAAGCAAGTGGAGACCGGACAGCCCACTGCTCCCAGACCAGCTCTTCAGTTCCTGTCTAGACAGCCTCAGCCCCTCTTGGCTGTTTTTCCCTCAAGTACAGTTAGGGTTCAGAGGGCAGCATGCTGAGGGTTTAATACACCCACAACACTCCTCGGGATAACTTGCTTATTGCTGCTTTGCAAGGGGAAAATCCCATTCTGATTACATGTGCCAGCTCTGCCAGGATTCAGGGGAAATGGCACAGAGAGGGAGAAGATGAATCCTGGGTTCCTGCTTTCTGCTGGCAGCACATGGATATTCTTATGGTGGTGGAGATTCTAGGAGTTGCTGGGGAAGGAGGAGTCCTTCCAGCTCCCATTTCTCTACCCCATCTCCAGAATGGGGATGGGAGCCTAGGATTGGGTAGCAGTTATCAAAGTCTGGCACAGCTTCCATGTATCCAGCAGAGGGCGCCAGGAACCAGGCTGAGTAAACATGCTGCCCGTTTCTGCAAAGGCCTGGAGTTCACCTTATTTTGAGGACAAGATAATGCTTTGTTAGTGGCTTTCCTGGCCAGTTAACTTTCATTTTTGCCCTGGCCTTTTCCAGTGTGGGAAGCCCCATGCTCACTATATCTGGGAATTATTTCCAGTGGTATGCATCCAACCCTGTTAGTTTGGGGAGGAGGGAGGCTAACCGGGGGAAGAGCCTGGCCTCCCTGACCCCGCCTGCCCCAGCCGGGGAGCAGTCGCTTCTGAGAACTCAGTTACTTTTGCTGGTGGATCCAGTCGGGTAGTGATCGTTCTTATTCTTTCTAGAATTTCACTTGCTTCTGATTCCTCTTTCAGCCCTAACTCTTTCTTTTTCTGTCTAATTTTATAACCCACTATCCTGTTCAGCCACTGCTGGATCCATCCCTAAGTCCTCTATCTTGGTTGTGCTAGCATTTCTCCTGCCCACTTTCTCTGGACTCCCAAAGACCCCTCTTTTCCAGGTACAGAACCTGACCCTCCGAACACAGCAGACACCAGCTGCAGCAGCCTCGGGCCCTAACCCCACTCAGCCTGTCCTGCCCAGCTTGGCCCTGAAACCCACACCTGGCAGTAGCCAGCCTCTGCCTACCCCATCACAGGGCAGGAACACTGCTCAGGGTTCCCCTGCAGGTGCCAAGCCTGGCGTAACTGACAGTGTGGTGGAGCCACTCAAGAAAGGAGATGGCAATGGCAGCCTGCCAGGGAGCGTGGAGGGCCGGGCTGGGCTCAGCCGAACTGTTCCTGCTGTGGCTGCCCACCCCCTCATTGCACCAGGTAAGGGCTCCAGGAACAGAATCCAGACCAGGCTGTGAGTCAGGAGGAATCTTTGAAACCTTCGTTTTCCCCATGGACCAGCTGTGTGTCTCTCTCCCCTCTTCCAATCTTGAGGTGTTCATCAGCTCCTGATTCTGTTTCAACTTTCTAGTTTGATTTCTGTTTCTAACTTTAAGAAAGGAAGCCAGATGTGTAGGAATAAATGAGTTCTTCACGGTGGATCTTGGAGTACACTATCATATCTCTTAACCTTGAGTGAGCAGAGGTTGGCAGGTGGACAATTTTCAAATTCCCTGTGACTCAGTGAAAAGAATTGGGGCTAGCCAGAAGCACGGAGGAGCCACGCAGGGAGTGGGGAGTAGAGCATTTGTCTTCTCATCATTCAGCAGATGTTTGTTTACTGGTGTTTGCCAGTCACATTGCCACACATCTGGGTGTGCAGAGATCAATGAGAGCAAGAAGGGCACAGTCTAGGTGGGGAGACTGACAGGTGCAGACAGGCTGTAAGCTCCAGCCACTGTAGGAGCAGGAGTGGGCCAGCCTTGTAGAGAGGAGCTGAGAAAGGCTTGCCAGTAAGGGTGACACTCGAGAATAGATCGAGGAGATTAAAAAAAGAAAGAAAAAAACAGCAAATTCTGCAAAGGGAATGAATCAGTGTTCCCTGGCTCGACTCCTTTCCCTGCTTGCTAAATGTTCCCAGCACTGCCTATTATAGGCAATCTTTAATGGGAAAAATCTGCCAAAAGTCCTAGAAGCCAGACTTTATCGGTCTAGGGAAATAAATAGAGTGGCGGGCAATACGGCTTGGTGTTAAAGAAAGACTCTGGTCATATACCTGAGAAAACCACTAACCCTCTGCCCTCATCCAGGCCATTTTACCATTCAATGTAACTTGCATCTTTTTTTATTGAAAACCCTCTATTTGTTTACTCTAAATTAAAACCAAGATCATCTAAGCATGTGTGTGTGTGTGTGTGTGTGTGCGCGCGCTCACGCACACGTACACACACAGTTCTGGAGATTGAACCCAGGACCTCACATATGCTAGGCAAGCAGTATACCATGGAGCCATATCCCAGTCCTTTTTATTTTTTGAGATGGGGTCTCACTACGTTGCTGGGAATGGCCTCAAACTTGTGATCCTCCTGCCTCAGCCTCCCTGGTGTACCGCTGCATTACAGCTACTGTGCCCAGCTCACAATATGACTTCTTACCTAAAGGAGCGGGCAGGCAAAGGGAAGAAACCAGATATATAAACAAATCCATTCAATTTCATAATCCTATTAGGTACCGTGGACCACAGATGATCACCTCACTGCCAGGCACAATGGTCAGAGGTGCCATCTCCTGAAAGCATGAGCAGTGACCCAGCAGATGAAGCGAGGAAAGGTATCCCAGACAGACAGAGGGAAGCACATAGAGAGCATGACCCTGAGTTGGAAAAAACTGGGCTGAAATAAATTTATTCATTTTTTGAGACTCCAAGTGGCCACTGCTGAGTGAGGAAGACACTGCCCTGCTGAAGCGCCGTGGCTCCCAAAGTTTCTCAGTGGCTGACATGGCTTTCCCCAGAGACTCCAGCCTCTTCCTTTTATGGGAAAAGAAACTGAGGCTCAGAATGGTGAAACTCAAGGGGATCTTACAATGTGCTGACAGCAGCTTGGATTCCAGCTAGAACTTGGAAGCTGCGTTTCTTCTACATTCTCACTCGGCCCACAGACCCTTGAACAATACCAGGACTCAGGACTCCCTGAGAACCTCATTCCTGCCCAGTCCAACATATGGCTTCTCTCTAAACCTAAGCAATCCCCCCAAAGTCTAACAACTTTTCAAAAGAAAGAACAGTTCTTGGGTTCTTCCTCCTGCTAGACATCTCTGGGTTCTCAAGGAAATTAGATAGAAAGGGACCAGCACTTAGGGAAAGTCCCTCATCTGTTAATCTGCTAGGCATTTAAATCTTAAAAAAAAAAAAAAAAAAAAAAAAAAACCTTAAGGTAGGTATTTATCCATTTTATAGATAAGAAAACTGAGGCTCAGAAGAACTTAGTATATTCTAAGTTCTTAAGGTCACCTAAGTAGTAAATGGTAGAGTTGAGACCTAACTCCATATCTGGCAGAGTCAGCTTCTGTCCTTAATCAAGCCAGGTTGCCCCTTAGTTCTTATATTGCTTTGGGGCCTTCTTGGCCTTGCCTGATCCTGACCCAAAGCTCAAAGAGTCTAGGCGTTCTAAGACTGTCTGGACTTTGCAGAGCTGGTGACAGGCTCTCTCTTCTTAAGCCCTGTAAGCATCAGTGAGAAACAAACAGTCTTGTGATCCGGGAGCCTAGGTGTGGCTTGAGACTAACAGTGTGTGCCCGACACAGTACAGAGGCCAGGGCCCCATGGCACTCTCCGTGGAGCAGCTGTGAACTGAGTGCTTACTACAAAGACCCTCTCCCCAGAGACGCAGATCAGTGGGCTTTGCCCTGCTCCTGCCTCCCACCGGCCTCTCCTATTCTGGCCACCCCTCCTCTCTACAAGCCCTTGGTTCCACTCCCCTCTCTCACCTCCCAAACGGAAGGCAGCTGGGGGAGGCTTAGGAAGCTTGGATCCTCTGAGGGCCTCCAGAACAAAAAGACTAAAATAATTCTTATGGCCTGCTGGGGACAGCGTGAAAGCAGCACCTGTCTTGGGCTTCACAGTTCCCCAGGCAGAGGTGACTTCTGGCCTCCTACCCAGAGGACCCACCGTGAATGAGCCAAGGGAGGGAAAGATCTGAGGGAGGAGTGTGCTCTTGCATGTGAGGCAGAGGGTGTGCGTGTTTTGTTTGCTATTTGAGCATTTTGGGGGCAGCTAGCAGGCAGCCCCCAGGGAAAGTAGCCAGTGGAGACCCTGGAGGGGTGCATGTGTTCTCCTGGGGTGTTTCCTCCCCGAGAGGCAAACTCTCCATCCCAGCTGGGACTGCTCCCACTGACAGCTGTTTGGGGGCAAAGCTCCTCCCCCATGGCAAGCTCCCTGCTGTTCCTGCTCCTGTCACCTTGGCAACCAGCTTCTTTAGGCTCTGCAAATAGAAAAGGTCCCTTATGCCCTGAAAGGGGGCGGGGTGGGGGAGGGGAGTACAGGGAGGAAGGGAGCCTGAGGTTGCACTTTGGAGGGGAAGGCAATGGTCTGGTCTTGCCCTTCTCAGTGATAGGAGGACTGGACCACAGAGGGCAGAAGAGGAGCAGGCAGCAAGGGTCTCATGGGCCTGGCCTCCAGGGAGTCCTAAAGGAGTTGGGCCACAGCTCTAGCTTGGTTCTTGGAGTCCTCATTGTAGAGGATAAGCTCCAGGCTTTGGGTGCACACTCAGCCCAAAGGTGAGGAGAAAGTTGCTGACCGGGAGGGGGACGCTGTGATAAAAGGGAGCTGTTGGGTCATTGAAAATCTGGGGTCCTTTTCACCCAGTCCTGCTTCCAGATGCCAGGCCTTTGTTCCATAGCCTCAACCCGCCTCAGGACACTGAAGAGAGAATTCTCTGTTGGGCAGGCCTGCCACATAGCTGCTTTGTTTAATCACAGAGGGTATTCTGTGTCAGGGTGCAGAGATTTCCATCTGTAATAGACTGGACAATGTGATGCTTGCTGATTTTTGGATTCTCGGATACCACATTTCCCTTCCAAAGCAGCCACCAAACGATGGGGTAAACACACTTTTACTTTCAGAATCCAGCTAACAGCAGTGCATGCAGGTGAGCCTGTTGTCTCTGGAAATCAAAATTCCCACCAATTCTAACACTAAAATCATGGAACTAGCCATGCAGGTCACTTCAACTATCTACTGTAGAATCACATTTAAATAATGAAGAATCTCTTCTTACTATTCAGGGGGAAAATCCAGAAGATATAGGTTAGCAGTAGAGGAGTTTTATATTTTGCTTAACATCATTCACTGCATATATATGTATGCATATTTCTCTGTGTGTGTCTCTGTGTGTGTGTGTGTGTGTGTGTGTGTGTGTATGAGAGAGACAGAGGAGAGAGAGCCCACTGTGATACACAAAAGGCCTTGGAATTGTTCAGCTTTCCTTCTTTCCTAAAATTCTTTTTTTTTTTTTTTAAATTTTTTATTGTGGGTTGTTCAAAACATTACAAATTTCTTGACATATCATATTCCACACTTTGATTCAAGTGGGTTATGAACTCCCACCTTTACCCCATACCCAGATTGCAGAATCACATCAGTTACACATCCATTGATTTACAAATTGCCATACTAGTGTCTGTTGTGCTCTGCTGCCTTTCCCGTCCTCCACCCTCCCCCCTCCCCACCTCTCCCCTCCCCTCCCCTTTCCTAAAATTCTTTACCTAAGGCTTCTATTATACTACTTCCCTGGTCGCTACCAGCTAATAATAATAATTTCGAGTTAGTGAACAACCATGCTCTAGGTATTGTACTAACTATTTACCTATCTATCTCATTTAATCATAACGGTGATCATTCCATTGCATAAATGAAGATCTAGTTCAGAAAGAATAATTAACTGCCATTCCCAAATGATTCTACTCTATCTCTTGTTGATTTAGCAACTATTATGTGCCAAACATTATTCTAAGCACTACAGGAGTTACATAACTGAATAAGAGCTGAAATTTTAATAGGGGGTATGAAAATTTGGGTCATGCTTTTAAAAATGAGTCTGTTTCACGCGAAACAGAAGGAGGATTGTCTCAGCTGGCCCCGAGAAGCACCTGAACCCAAAGTGGACACATACATACATGACCATCTATGCGTGGAGGTAGGACCTGTCTTTCCTTTTCCCTTGCCTGCTGCCATTAGCTGTGGGTCTCCTCAGTCCTGTGCCCCCTGTGTTTATTTTTAACTCTTAAAGGAACTTATCTGTTCCCACCCCTCAGATACCTGCCACCTGTCTGCCAATAGCTTCTCAATATGCATCCATCCCTGCTCTCATGCCCTCTCCCCAGAGATTTCCAGCTTCTCTAGGGTATTCCTACTTTGATTTCATCCCACTTTATACCATTTT